ATGCATACACCGATTGCCACGAAAACTAATGATAAGATTATCGCTGAAGACTCGGACTCAGAGATATATTACTCATACGATGACGAGTCAGATGAGGAATACACCACTCCATTGGCTGCCAAATCAGTGGTGACATGGGCTCTGAATCCACTCGCGAAAGAATGGCGACAAAAGAGTTGTTCTGAGTTTGACAGACAATTAGGTTTGGATTTAACAGTGAATCCAATTCTTGAGTTAGTATTAGATATATTACAATCAATTCATTGATTTGTTAAAATCATATTCAAATATGATTTAATAGAAAGCCAACCAATGCTTGCAATCAATCGGTTGTCAATTCAGTGAATGGGAACCAATTTCTGGAACCTCTCGTCACTGATAATGGATATACTGTCACATCCATTGATTCCATTACCAGTGTCTCATCCTATGACCCAATAATGAGGTATAAATTGTTACGTTTTGATTGAAATGTAATAATTTTGTGGATATATTTTCAGTCGCTTTAAAGAATTTCTATGGGAAGCGTTCAATAACCCAATGGATTCCGATATCGTATTTATTTTGCAAAACAAACCCATTTATTGCAATAAAGCTATTCTGAAGCTTCGAAACAAAAAGTTTTGGCAAAAATGTGAACAGAGTTTGGGCACTGAATCTGAAGTGAAAATCAGTGTTTATTCTTACGAGACATTTATAGCACTTCTCATGTATTTCTATGGACTCACACCCGACGTGAATGACCGCAACTGCACTGAACTGATAAAATTAGGCAACATTTATGATGAACAGGAGCTCATTGATCTCTGTACTCAACACATATCCACTATTAAATCATAATTTAAATCCAGTTTTTTGCATTTCATTAAATCTCACAAACAGTTAATTATATAAAATAATGTATTTTTGTTCCAAATATTCAATTAAAGTTAAACATTATATTCATTAAACAATTTTGTCTTATTTTAATCTAAATAAGTTGCTTTTCACACTATATTATAAATAGATATACCATAGAAAGTGGATACGATACTGTCATTAAATCAGCTAATGATCCAAAACTGTAATGATTGACAAATTAATTATAGTATTGCAGTGATTGCCATAACACAAGGGGTTGTCATTAAGTGACTGAATGACTGGAAAACTCATTGAAAGCATTGAATTGTGTGAAGAGATTTGATTGCATTTTAGAGACAATCAGTCATTCAATGAAACAATGAATGAATCAATGGATCAGTTGGTTGTCATCAAGACATTCAACTCTTTGAAGCCATTGATGGCCAAAGAGAGTGTTAAACAAAAGCTAAGACTTCTTTATGTCTTCGGTTTCAACGGATCCGAAGTGATATTCGCGACAAATGAGGACAAAGTGTACGGCTGTGGACACAATCAGAGCGGATGTCTTGGACTGGGAGTCGACACAAACATATCACTGCCTAAAGTCAATCCATACCTCAGTGGCAAAGGATTGGCGAAACTCTTCAGCGGTTTCCAGCACTGCATAGGAGTGACCACAAGTGGACAGACCTACTCATGGGGTGATAATAAGTACGGCTCGTTAGGCGTCGGCACTCTCCTCGACTCCAATGTCCCACAACTGGTCCACGGGTTGGACGACAAGCATGTGGTGATGGCTTCGTGTGGTAACAGCCATACACTGGTGCTGACCATCGATGGACACGTGTATGGCTTCGGACGCAACCTCTTCGGCCAATTGGGTGATGAGAGTCAAGTGTCGCGTCCGTACGCCTGTCTCATCACATGNGGCTTCGTGTGGTAACAGCCATACACTGGTGCTGACCATCGATGGACACGTGTATGGCTTCGGACGCAACCTCTTCGGCCAATTGGGTGATGAGAGTCAAGTGTCGCGTCCGTACGCCTGTCTCATCACATGCCTCAACGACATGACAGTGATGTCTGTGTCTTGTGGTCGCAATCACTCGCTGGCGCTCACAGACACCGGACGGGTGTATGTCTGGGGACTCAATATCTGCGGACAGTTGGGTCGACACAGGGATGAAGACATACAGTTTGGCCAACAGATGCCATATTGCGATACACCGAAGACTGTGAAGGGATTCACTCATTTGGCTAAGAAGGCGGTGTGCGGTACTGACCACACGTTGATACTGACCACCGATGGACACGTGTATGCGTTCGGAGACAATAATCACGGGCAGGTCGGCTATGGGGTCAAAGGGGGCACTCAATTCACGCCCATTCGTGTCAAAGTGGCGGCAAATATCAGGTTTAAAGACATTTTTGCCTACAATGCCAACAGTTTATCGATCGGTGTGTCCACTGATGACAAGTACTACGTGTGGGGCTATCAGTATATAGCGGTTCCCCGGCCAACACTGGAGCTAATGACTACTCATACTATTTACGATGTTTTTGCCATTTATTGCAAAACTAATATCACTTTTGAGACCATAATCTTCGACAACACCATGAATGCAATCAATGATAACTTTGATCTGAATGTCGATCAAAAAGAGCTGTATTTTAAGGACAAAGTTTTCGATGACTTCAATCGCATAAACATAAGAAGTGATGAAAGCGTTTCCGATTTTAATCACAAGAGTGTCCAACAAATGCAACAAAACTGTGGAATCGATGACTCGAAAGCTTTGGGTATAAAGAAAACAAACGAAGAGTTGATTCCAATAAAAGTCTTCCGAAAGTATTTGTTAAACCTTTTCGACAATCACTCGGATTTTGATTTGGTTTTCAAATTCAACGATAAAAGCATTAATTGTCACAAAACTCTCCTTCAGATACGAAACAAAGAGTTTTGGCAAAAATGTTGTCAAATGTTGTCTAAAAGTGACTCGATTTGTGAAATTCAAATCAAATCCTATTCTTTTGAGGCTTTCTATGCATTCCTGCAGTTCTTGTATGGACTCAAACCAGAGATTAATTCCAATAACAGAAGGGAAGTCTCAAAGTTGGCCACAGTTTACAGCGAACTCATACTTCAGGAGTTGTGTGGACCAGAAGTGAATGAAGAAGTGGTGATAGAGTTGTCAAACATCTGTAGTCTCTATGAGAGAGCAGTGAATGAGAAGTCAAATGATTTGGAAAAGAGTTGCATTGAATTCGCGCTGAAATCTGATAATTTGATACAAATTGTAAAATCGGATGCCTTTCGGGCAATGCCTGACCACTTGTCCCAAAAGCTCTTGGCATCCATACAGCGATATGTATATGAAAAATAATATAATTTTGTAAAACACTTAATGAATATAACTTTTAATTCAATTATAATCAGTCATTACAATTGCGACACAATTGACTTGAAATCAAAAAATAAGTAAATGTATGCTTTAATTATCTAATTATAGGGAAACAAGTCTTTGATTGAAGTAATTCGTGGCAATAAATCAGAAAACAATGTAATTATTGACAATATTTGCTAAATACAGTACTTATATAACAAATTAAATGAAACAAAAAATTAAATGTATTTTTATGCAAAGATTATTCAAAATAAGAAAACATTAATTGAAATGAGTTTCAAACGGTGTGTTCACTAAACACTGGATTCTTGAGTAA